ACTTTTTTTTTTTTCTTCTAAAAAGGCTGAATTTGGTACATTCACAGCTGTCATGCCATTTTTAGAAAGCTTCCTGACAAGAGAGAGGGACAGAGAGAGGCTTCAAAGCCAAACATGGAGGCCGCCCATACTTTTCGCAGTCGTGTGTGTACCACAGGTCATACGATGCCTTACCATACCCTCCCAACCCCATCCCCCAAACACCCACATCCTCCAAAACCTAGTCTACCTCACTGCCACTCCACATACCACAGGTCTGTCACTCTGTACTCCACAGACTCCGTGTCAGAAGGTGACCACGAAGAAACTGTGGCCACAGCAGTGAAGCTGGAGAAGCAGACTGGAAACATCTCCACTAGTGTTGGAAGTAACTCATCTCAACTCTCAACACGTTTTAAAAGCCACCGCCAGGGTCCGCGGTGCTGACTAAGATCGCCTGACTCAGGGAAACTACATTTTTGAGTTATACTTTTGTATATTTTCTGTCCTTGACATTTTCTCATATTAATAATTCCATCATTGGGATTGGAGTCGCAAATAAAAACAGGAGTGAAACACAGACCTCGACCTGCTGTTATCTGTCTTTCGGCTCCAACAACAGACAAGTTTTTACAATTACAAAACACAATTAATCATGATTAATTACAATCAATCAATCAATCAATCTTGATTACTCTACAGCTACACTGATACTAATCAGATTATTGAACTGTAATTGCTCTTGCACACACGTATATACATATATACACAGTATACAAATATATAAATATATATATATAAATATATATATATATACACAGTATACAAATATATAAATGTATATATAAATATATATACACATACTGTATATATACATATATACACAGTATACAAATATATAAATATATATACACATATATACACATACTGTATATGTACATATATACACAGTATACAAATATATAAATATATATATATACATACATACATACATACATATATACTGTATATATACAAAAAATATATATTCACTCGTCAGTCCAACATTGTTCTTTTAAAGAAGGCATAACAATTCAGATTATTCTAATATGATTCTCCTAATGCCCTCCGTTGACAGCGTTACTTCAAACCCATAGAGCAGTTCCACCTTAAATCTGCAGCTCTACACCTGCAACCACATGTCTATGGGCCCACTTCATTATAACAGTCTGACTCTTCTATCCTAAGATTTTTAAGACATCATTTTCTGCTCTGATCACCAAAGAAAATGCCTTCAGGGATATGTTGGGTTTTTTTTCCTAAATCCAAGAAGGAGCTTCCAATGCAACGTGCAGTATCTCTGTGCAGTATACACGTGTGATAGCAGTTCAAGGTGAACATTAATCTAAACCCCTCGGTGGCCTTTTACCTGTGTTGAGTGAAAGTGGCAGTCAGTTTGATTTTATCGAACATATAAAACTTTATCCTTTAATCCTATTTAAGATGAAGCCAGAGAGAGAGAGAGAGAGAGAGGCTAAGGTGAGAAAGTGAAGCACAGTTTAGCAGAAAGAAGCAGAAAGAAGTAAGAGTAGCATCAGATATGAACGGGAAGTGACATTTCAAAGGGGCGTTATCTGTTGCGTTGGCACACACACAGGCTTGTTGTAAAGACTCCATTCATCAAACTGTAAGTACGTTTCTTTTTCTTTTTTTCTACCTTTGATTTCAGTGGCCTCAAGTGGACAAACAAGGGAAACTGCTTTTTCTGTGTGGCTGAGACAGCCCCATAGATCTCCTGAATAAGCACAACATTAAAAACCAAAGTTGAACTGTCATTTTTTTTTGTAGATTAAAAAATAAAAAAACAACAGTGCATACTCTCGGTGTGCATCATTATACGTCTCTGCATTAATACTGCTAAGGACATGTATTCTTTCCATCCTTATATCTCCAAGAGAAGTTCCATTGTCACTCACGCTCATTCTAAACCAAACCAAATCTCAATTACAACGCCTTGTAGGCTGTATACGCTTGTATTAACACAGTGAATTTAACCTTGCTTGTTAGGCCTATGTTAGTCCAACTAAAGAGATAACGTTATGCAGGGCAACATACTACCTTTACCTTTTGACTGAGTAGACAGTTCCTTCCAATTCTCTGCCATTTCTGTTCCTTTTTTGTCTTTCTTTAAAAAAAACAACAACAACTTTAGTTTATCAGTACGGTTTCTCCCACTATCTGCTCTCACAGGGATGGCAGTGCACATAATGCTCTCAGCCTTTGGCTCTCACTTGTTTCCCCCGTTAATAAAGTTCTTTGGTTTTGTTCCCGGTGCTGCTGGTCTGCCCTGCATGTCCCCCTGGGCCTTTGCCTGGGTGGGGTTTTTGTCCATAATGGGAGGGCTACATTCATTGGCTGGCGCCCACGGAGGCCGCCCTGCTGGTCACTTGGAGTGGTGCTGTGACACGGCAGCGCCCTGCTGGTGTTTCTGTTCCTGCTGTTTGACCTGCTGTATGATTTCCCGGATCCTCCTCTGTGCAGTCTGTTGCATGACATCACATGGGGGACAATCTGTTAGCTTAGGAATCAAACACTGCAGTGTACGCATGTACTCTGAAGTAGATGGTCAACATGTACACACTGAGTACTAATTGATTTCGTAGGCCTCCTCAGTCAACATCAGAGGACACTAACTGAGACAACGATAAAGACTTCACCAGACCAAACAGTTAGGAGATTTCTAGTGATTGCAACTGTGATGTTTGTACCTGATTGGCATAGAAATGTCCGATGATTTTCACAAAGACCTCGTCATTCTCATCTGGAGTTTGGTCCCGTGGTACGATGACCTCTGCACACGTAAAGTTTTGCAGCTCGGTCACCTGAAAACATTAGTGAGACACGTTTACGACACACTGAACTGGCAGTTGGTGGTGCAAAAAAAATACTGTACAATACAATACCATACCATACTGTACTATACTGTACCATAGTAAACCATTCCATTTACCATACTGTACCATATCATACTATACTATACTATACTAGCCATACTTTTTTGCAACTCCAAGCAGCCACAGTGATTGACTACAGGTGCTCTGCTCTAAGTTATGTGCAGGATTTGTTTTTGTCAATGTTTTCGCTGTTGTTGTAAAAATATTTTGACTGACCGTCTTTCCTCCTTTACCAATGACCCTGCCAGCTGCAGTTGAGGGAACCTTGATGTGCGTCTCCAGTTTGACCTCCTCCTTTGCCGAGAAGAAATTCTCTTCTTTCAGCTTCCCGAATATCCGACCTTGAGCCTGGAACACAGAGAACGGTGTGAGGCAAGGAGAGACTGGGAAAACAGTGACAAACAGAGATCAACTGCTGTTTACCAGAAAACTGTAAAGAGAAAAAAACTTTAGTTTTGGGGGAGTTAAAACCCAAATGAAAATGACAAAAAAAGGGAAAACAAAGTATTTTCTTTAACGTACAGCTCTTCACCGCCGTGGTGTTTTACCTTAAACTGAGCTTCTGGAGTTCCAGTAATAATAACCATCCTTTCAGTGACATCTGGACTCTCAGCTGGAGCGATCTGACAAGCACACAGAAATATCGTTGGTGTCACGCATGAAAAAAAAAGAAAAATAGATAGCATACAGCTGTTGCTCTGTGATAGAAGCAAATCAATGAATCATCTGAAAAAATCGCAAACTGCCCAAATAAAAGTGCTATTCCAGGGATTAAGTGACTAGGGTTCAAGGAGCAGCTGTCTCACCTCTGCAGATGGAGATTCAGGGGCTTTCTGAAATGTTCAGCCCGCGAGTCATCTTCGGAGTTTTTTTTATTTTTTTATTTACTATAAATAACTGACATCCTCAGCTGTGGCCAATGAAGGACTGCTGACTCAGCAAGTACTCACTTCAATCTTAACTCCCAGTTTAACTTGTGTTTATCCACTTCAAATCCTAGATGTTTTCAAGAGAGGTTGCGTTGACCTCGTCCTCCTGTTTCACTGAGGTCAGAATAATGTCGACGCTCCCTTAACTCACCTTAATGGACGCTCCAGCAAAGTGGGCCAGTTCTTTGATGTGCTGGCCCTTTTTGCCGATCAAGGCCCCAACTGCCTGAGTTGGAATAAAGAGGTAGACAACCTCCTGTTCTGGAGCCTGTTGCTGGAAGAAAAGAAAAACCATATTATTCTTTAATCACAGAAGGCAACAGTGAAAAATTCTTGGTTTGTAGAAGAATGTATTTCAAAGTTGAGGCAACATTTTTTTGAGGAGTTCACTTTAAATAAATCATGCTTGGGGTTTTTTTGTTTTTGTTTTTTTTTTTGCTGATACCACAAAGGTTTCTGTAACCAGTTCCCATCTTGTCTGAAACAATTTACCCTAACTCTCATTGAAACACGAAGTTCCCATCTTGTCTGAGACAATTTACAATTTAACTCTCATTTAAACACGGTCACAATATAATAAAAGAGCACACACATGATAAATAAATGACCTGGGGATCACTTGCCTGCCTGTATGTCTACAGATGTCACCACTGAACATCTAGTGTAACAGTGCTGTCTGTCACCTCTGTCCCATTTATGGTGTTGGTTTACTCTTCCTCTGTCTCCTTTTCTCTAATCAAGCGGTGTTAAAACCAATATTCCTGTTCAGGTTTCAGCCACAGTTGTCCAGTCCTGTTCCCTGATTGGTCGCTGTGACCTGAGTCATCATAGGCCGTGGTCAGATTACCAGGCCGCAATGACTAATGTCCATTTTTTGAGCTACAGTGACTCTGAGTGTGAACACACACTCCATGCAGTGTTTCTCCTTTGGACGTGCACATCGTCACTCTGCACTGGCACCGCGGCAAAACCAACGATGACAGAGTGGAATAGCGTTAGCAGCTGCGGTGTGATGTCATTTGTGGATTTGACAGACATGGCACCGAGGCTATGACTGGACTAAAAGGGTAATTCTACAGTTTTATCCACTCTCAACTGTAAGAAGGTCGGCTGTTGGCAGGTGTAAAAATGAACATGCATGTGCCCTGTTCCAACTATACAGCACTGGTGGCTAACACAAGTGGCTAACACAGACCACAGACATATAGAGATAAAACAAATACACAGCGTGTTCAAAACAGAGCATTGTTGGAGCCTAATGGATTATGTCTATTAATTAGCAGTCGAAATGAACGTGTTAGTGCGTGAAATTCATCAGAATAAATTTGTAACACGTTTTAACCCACAAGCAGAATTCATCACAATTAATCACCATTAAATGACAGCGACACTGTGATTAATGACATTAAATATTCTCTTTTTGTGACAGCCGTACCATCGGTATTTCACACTTCATCATCATGCAGACTTAGAACTACTGAAAGTGAACTGCTGATTTGAGGGAACTCACTGAGTGCTGGTGAGGGCTGGGACTTGCTGGAGGAACCCCATACAGGCCACCGAGATGTGAAGAGTGACTCTAATGGTGACATAAAACACATGTAGTACAGATAAATACAAAGTACACACACACACACTCAATCTGACTATGTTGTGTTTTAGTATGTTGCTGTCAACCAAACGTAAAGTTTTTGTTTTTTTTTATTATTATGGATTAAACAAATACATTCTCATGCAATGGCTCATGCCACTTTGGTTTCAAGTCACTGAGCAATAAGTAGAGACTTTGTTTTACAGACAGTCTGACTCATCTGAGAAGATGAGAGGATGGGGGAATTCAAGTTGTTTTAAACTGTGTTCATCATACAGGAAGTCCTGACTCAACCCAGCATTGTTTTTCTTTAAAAAAAAAACAAAACTTAGGGAGAGCATAGTTTATGTCATTGTAAGAAAACCGTTTCCCAAATTATAAAAAGAAAATCTAAAAAAACTAAAATCATATTTATAAAAAAGCCTTTTCCCCCCCATGTTGTTTTTGTGCAGTATTAATTTCACTTACTAAGAATGGGTTGTAACTTGCTGGAGCCATCTGGGGCACTGCACCACGTGGTCCAGCAGCAGGGGGCAGCACCGGCAGACCAGAGGAGAAAATGCCCAGAGCATTAAGATTCAAGCCTGGAATCAAGTTGGCTTGTTGCTGTAGAGAGTACGAACAGAGGAAGAAACTGATGTCAGGTTCAAATAACTAGAAACATCAACAAGGTGTACAACAGCCTCGTTTCATCCTATTTGTTGCCTCCTTCACTTTGCCACCAACCACCTCCTTGTCCTCTGTGACTCCCTCCACTGTCTTTTCCTCCCTGGCAGCTTGAGCCACAACATTCTTTTGTCCAATATATATTACCCATCTCTCCTCAGTGCAGGTCACAACCATCTCAACAATTTGATGATACTGAGAAAATGAATGTGCAGCATGATGCACTGGTAAAACTGTAATATATACATATATTCATCATCAAAACCATATTTTTCTACACCTGTTTTCACGCAATACAAGTCCAATAAATAAACCTCGCTAGATCATGTCAGTTGTCAACAATGACAGTTGTTTCAAAGGAATTCCGCCAATTCCTCAAAATGACAACACCATCCATCGGTAAATTTACTTCACCGCTTTAATGACCGGGACAAGACACGTGGTCTCTTTCCGCGTCCATTTTTTCCTGTAGCAGTTCAATGTAATAGCCAGAAAGTCCCGCTAGATGGCCCTCGGCGCCTACTGTAGAAAGCGAAACAAACAGGTGCCAGAGCAGCTCACACCAGCCAGAACAATCTAACCGCATGCTGTGTGTTAGCTCTTGATGGTTATTTCTAGGCCAATATTCGCGGAATGAAAATAAAGTAGGAAACCATTAAGTGAGCCTGTGTGACAGGAGCGAAGAACTCATGTGTCGTTAATAACAAAGTCCGAAAATAAAGTTCCAGCGCCTCTGGTCAGCATTCATCGCCACTTCGACGTACGACACCTTGTGCAACATCATCGCTGCCTGTCTTGACCTTTCTGTCTGCATCCCCGGTGATGTCATCAGGGCAGCGTGAAAGTGGAGCATCCTACAGATATCAGATGGATGCTGGGAAACGCAGTGTGTTACAACAGGAACACAGACACACACAGCGGGGAAGAGAGCATGAGTCAGAGGCTGTGTGGAACAGACACACACTCACACACACACACGTCCACGGACATAGTGTTCTCAAACAATCCACTCACTGATGAGCTATTCAACGATGGTTTACTCTTATCCATTTACCTAACGCACGACAACGGACATGGCTCTCATCACTGCTCACCGCTGTTCACCTGTCACAGTGTGTGAGTCACCCTGAGATCATAAACCACACGCAACCGCATGCCAGATACAATGGGAGGCGGGGGGGTGGGGTGGGTTGGGGGGTGAACTTACATTTAAAGCAGCAATGTCGTTTTCATAGGCTTCCCTCAGTTTCTTCATGATCAACACCTCGGCTTTACTAATCGCCTCAGGGCTGCCCTTGACAGTGATGGTCCTCTCAGGGTTGTAAATGGTTAAGTCTTTTAACCTGTAAGGGAAGTGGTGCACACAAGTTCACACGCACATCAACAAAAATCAGTAAATACAATTATGGAAAAACAGCTAAAAGAACAGACGCGCCCCTGTCCTGCTCATGTTTTTATTTGAACTTCCTGTTTATCAAACTCAAGTGTTACTAAAAGCTGTTTATCAATACTTAAACCAGCATCATTATTCCTTGATGGTCAGTATAACTCAGATGGACCTACCAACTACAACCTAAATTTAGAATCCAGTGTGAGAACAGGCTAATCAGGAGTTAGCATAGTGAGCCTAAAGCTTCATAAAGTAAAGGAGGCAGAAATTATCCAAATAATAAGCTACATAATCGTAGACAATCCATATCAAAAGAGTCACAGGAAGTACGTGGTTTCATTTCTCTGTCTTTATTTGGCATACAAAGAGAAAACAAAACGGTGTTGCAACTGTCAGTGAAGCTGCAACTGAAACCAAAAGAAGAAGAGGTGTTGAGGTTTGGGATGGGTTAGCTTAGCTAAGCTAACTGAGGGAGGAAACTCTCTTTTCTAATCTGTACATTTTACATGTTTTATATAGATGGCAACAAGCAATAATTTCACAACTCTGTATATCTTGCGAAACATAGGCTTTCATCGTTTGCCAAGGATGATTCTTTGCCGTTACAGTGTTCTTTGAACACAGGTATTGCTAGAGTTCTACAGGAGAGGAAGCTCAGAGCTTTTAACATATGCTTTCATGGATAATTCCGCCGATAGTCAGCCAATTACCTGGGTACAATAGTCTGAGTTGGGAAATGCAGTCTGGTAATATTTCAGTCAGACTATTGATTATTTTAAAAGTCTGCTTTCCACCAACATTTATGTATATGTTTTATATAACCGTCTCCTCTTGGAGTCCTTTCAGTAGCATCCTCCTTTCTCACTGTGTCACTCTCTCATTCCAGTCTCCTGCTCCTTGAGGCTCATTACAATTTCAGAGCTCATCAAGAAGCAGGACTTCATTAGTGTTACATGAACATGAAGGTTGATGAGCAAAAGTTATGAAACGAGTTACAATCGCAACCTCGCGCTCTGGAGTGGAGGAGCTGTAATTAACTCCCCATATTTGTTGTGATGCGCGTTGGTGAAGTGAAACACAAACACAAAGAACGACATTGCACCATGAACTACAAATCACTGTGACTCAGTCTGTTAAACTGCTAACAGTTCAATAAAGTCATTATGAGTATCATTGGTCTTTCACGGGGACTCTGCCGGGTGTGTGTGTGTGTGTGTCTACTGGAAGGATGTGTGAAAGGGGAGGTGACTTACGAGGAGATGGTTATCTTGGTCCCTGTCTCCTCTTCGATCCTCTTTAGGTTGCGTCCATCCTTCCCAATCAGCCGACCAATCAGACTGTTGTGGGCCAGGATTTTCAGAGGGAACTCCTCCGTCCTACACACACAAACACACACACATATACACACGGCTGAGAACAGTGACAATCATTTCTGCTCAGTGTGTGTCTGTGAGTAATGTGCTAACGATGTTGAGGATGTGGTGGGGCCACTTTGTCAGATTCATATGGTTCAAAACCATGTACACAAAAACAGAAAACTAACCGGCAGCCAAGGCGACCGTTCATTCAGCAGGGTGTGGCCCAGGCAGGGTCAACAGTTCAGGTGTTTAGTCAACCTGCTGTGATGTTTGAGCGTAGGATTAATGATTTGACAGGTTGAGCTAAAAAAAGACCAACCGACTGATTTATGGTGCCATTACACTGCACACACACTTCTGATTTCCAGATCAAAGCCAGTAAAACTGAAACTCCTCATACGAGTGATTGAATTGTTCACGCTTATCAGAGCACTGCAAACAAAAACAAAAAAACAAAAAAAAAAAAAAACCAAAGCTGCAACGATTTCATATTTCTGTTTCTATACAAAGCTGCAGGTATAACAAAAGTCATGGTTAGAATCGTAGCATGTCAAAGTCACCCCTCACTCTCACCTGTACTGTATTAGGAATCTTTTATGTGATGAGATATTATCTGTAAAAATGAAATGAAACTTTGGCATTCATGTATTAAAATCCAGCTTAATTTAGATGTAGCCACAGTGTTGTTGGAGGTGTACAGCACCACAGAGCTGTGTGCACTCTACACCAGCCAGCTCAGCCCACGGTCTTGATTCATGATTATGTTTTTGTTTTATCCAGTGGTCAATTACAAATCAACAAACCTATATGTTATACTTGGAGATAATGTTTTGACTTCATACGTGTAGGTGTGCAAAGGGAGACAACAGTACAGTCTGCAGAGTGAGAGTAAAAGATGTGCAGTCGTGTCAAAGTGAAAGATTACGGTGGTGCCGATATTATAACCTCCCTGCATTAGCACACCTGGGTCTGGTCAGGTTATTGCTCTTTCTTCGTAATTGTGCGTGTTGCACTGCAGACTCACGTCTTGGTCTCACTGGCTTCTTTCTCCATGATTTCCTGGATCATGCAGCAGGCAGCGGAGCAGCCCTCTGGTGTTGAGTGGATGGTGATGGCCTTTTCTGCTGCACCTGCATTTTCTTTTCGATGAATGTCCACCCTGAGAGAAAGAGAGATAGAGAGGGCAGACAGGCCGAGATGAAAAACAAAAAAGAAGCGTTAACACAGGGTACAAATAATAATAATAATTTGAGCTCATTAAAAGAAGCGTTAACACAGGGTACAAATAATCCAGTGAGTTTGAGCTCATTTAAATATGGGATTAATATTAACCAGGTCAAAAATGGACATGACGTAAGAATGACTTTTAGTAGCCTACTTAGATTGTGTCTGTTTGGTGACGTTCTTGATAGTTAGCCCCCCCTTTCCAATAATGGCTCCCACAAACTGGGTAGGCACAAGTATGCGTAGAGGAAGGTCGTGCTGTTTCTGACGTGGAACACCGAAGCTTCCCGAGGGTCCGGGCTGAGACGGGCCCTGGTCCCGAGGCGATCGACCCCCACGCCGGATACGGGGACTCTGGGCAGGTGGAGCAGCATCCATGTCCATAATATATGACACGTTAAAGGAGCAGTCGTCAAACTGCTGACCTGACAACTTCTCAATGGCTCTGGAGAGGAGACAGTGGGGAGTAGATGAAAAGGTGATCTCTCATGTACTGAAAACATCAGTGGCACGGTCAACACATTCCCTCCGAATGAGACTTGAGACGAGATCTGAGGGACACGTTGGTTGCACTTCACGATCATGTGACTATCGCCATGACAAAAACCACTGTATTTTTACGTAAACTTCCTCATTCTCACTATTTTCCAGGTGATTGTCTGTGTGAAAACGTCTCGTTCTCACCAACTTCTTAGCGATGGCGTGATTAGAGTCAACACAAGTGGAATATAGGTGTGCTGCAATTAAAAGTGTTGTCTCGCTCTGCTGTTTTTTTGCTGACATGGAATTAACATTCTTGGGCGTTACAATAAACATCTCGCTCTGCTGTTTTTTTGCTGACATCATGGAATTAACGTTCTTGGGCGTTACAATAAACTAGGGTAACCTGGCCCTGCTTTGACCTGAGTGGATTTTTCCATTTAATCCCATAGATACACATAAAGCATACAGACAGGTATGAGAATAACGCTGCCTGTGTCCCAGCCGCACAAGCTCAAGGCTTAAGTCGTGTAACGTTAGCTGCATTAGTGCCAATATTCACACTACTTACACTTTAGCTTCCTCCTTGGTTGCGTACGTAACATTCACCACTGCTGTTTCTGTGTCAGTGTTCACTGTAAATAAAGAAAAAAAGAGAAAGAGAACGAGATGAATCAGGGCCATATTTACACGTGTCCAGCAGCTGTTGTAGGTGGATCAGACACACGCTCCGGTTCCTGTGGTGACCCAGAGAGCCACTTGTCTGCATGAATACATTAGAGTCATCGTCCCGCTGCCACCTCTGAAGCCAGAGCTGCATTACACAATGCACTCTCTGCCACTTGTAGCCTAAACAATGTTTTGGATTTGTGATAAGACCTGCCACTTGTAGCCTAAACAATGTTTTTGATTTGTGATAAGACGGTCAGAGTTCCGTACGGTCAGAAAAATAAACAATTCTGACTTTGATTCTAAAAGGACCTCACATTTTTATTCTTTAATTATTCATTTAAATTATTTTGATTCATCGCTCTTTTTTTCTTTTTGAAATGCCAAAACCAAATATTTTGCTATTTTGGACTGTTGTTCAAATAAAACCAGCAATCAATTATAAATTAGTTTGTGCTCAATTGAGTAACTGATGAATAAATATTGACAGTTTTATTAGCTGTGACCCTTGAGCGAAGGACAAATTGTGTACAAATCTGCTTAGACCCAGATTCTGTGCACAGAATTGCTAAAACCTAATTAGAAGAATGGAAAATTGACATCGCCTCAATATCAGATTTTCACAGGCGGCATTTTGAATTTTTTTTGCCGTAATGTGCTTATGGCCAGCAAATAGTTTCTCTTTTCTTCTGAAGCAAACATTGTATAAAAACAGAAACTCTTATTTATTTGTCTTATTTATGATGTTCTTTCTGGTTCACGAATCCCTCTGTCAGTACAGACTATGACTCAGGGTAATAACATCAATATTAAATTCTGTCTCAGGATCTGTGGAAAAACGAGGCTTCAACCAAGAATCTGATTCATATAAAAGGAGCGAAATAAACTGAATAAACAGAAATCATATGAAAGCAGTGACAGACAAACAGGTAATGTGATTACCTATCACTTCAATTCTAGTAGTGATTTTTAATACTTTATTCATACATTCATTCATCTTTGTGATGCCTTCAGGTTCTCCAGGGAACTGGAGCCAACCAAGCAGTAATAATGCGGTGGAGAGGCACAGTTTGCCAGTCCACTGCAGAGCTACATATAGACACAAACACTCTGACCTATTGTCAATTTACAGTGTTTGATTCACCATGTTGTTGAACTGTGCCGAAAAGAAAAATAAATACGCAGAGAAAACTCCAGGCAAACGCCACACAGAAAGACTGGAATGAAGCTGGAATACAACGACCAAACCTCTGACCTTCTTGCTGTAAAACAGGTCGCCTCACACTTCCTCCACTGTGTGGCCCCTCTGTGACATTAAACTGAACTGGGAAATGTCTGGTTCTATACAAAAATGAAAGTATTGAATTAAGTGTAACAAAATGTAGCCATGCCAGTTTCTTATGCGTAAAAATTAAAGAAAAAAGATGAAATAAAAGCTTTTTTTTAATTTATTTTTTTAAATGTCACTTCAGCATGTGGCCGTTCGCTCTGGGAACAAAGTCCTCAAGGGTTAAAACCAGTGAAAGCTCCCAGCTGGCTTAGAGAGGGCGGATGGGCAGAGCCTGGCGTGGAGCCCCGTCTGGGCGCTGACAGCCAGCCCTGCTGCGACCCGCCTTGCCGCGCTGCGCCCTGCCCCACAGACAGCAGCTTACACTGTGCCACACGGGAATGTGGAGGTTCTCAGAAGAGAGAGGGAAAAAAAAAACTACTGGGCATTTTCACAGAGCTGGACGGACTCTAAGGCTACGACGAGACACCGCGCGTTAGGCAGCGATCTAAGGGATTCTCTGTCACAAAGCAGGACTAAAGGCTGTGCTGATCTCTGGGACAGTACAGATGAACTGCTGTGTTTTACTGCAGCATCACGGAAACTTTAAGTGGAGTCATTTCTGTGCTGGCTTCTCCTTCAGCACCTGTCATGACTACAGCGGGTGGTGGTTGGTCTTGGCTGCTTTGCTGCTCACTGGTCTGACTAATGTGTGTGTGTGTGTGTGTGTGTGCGTGTCTCCGACTGTTTGTTTCTCCTACTATGTGTCTACTACTCACGCATGTGTGTGTGTGTGTGTGTGTGTGTGTAAACAGTTCCTGGGGATAGCTCCGGCGCTTATGACTCTCGACTTTGCGTTCGCTACACACAAACACACACACTCCTTCAGATGAGCAAAAGCTTTACCACAGGCGCCTCCTCTAAACAGATACACACACACACACACACACACTCAAATAGACACACTGCTGATGGACGGCTGCCGTGTCTGCCCACTTCAATCCATACGCTGAGGCCAAAGAGGCGTGTGGCAGAACGCAGCGCTGATTACAGAGGCTGCGTGTGTTTCAGATGCCTGTCTCTCTGAACGCGGCGCACATCTTCACGCACACACACACATGCACACACAAACAGACAGGATGATAAAGGCAGATTTATATGCAGAGATGGGTTATGTTTAGATAATGGGTGTGTGGGGCGGTGGTAATGAGGAAGTCAAGTCACACTGGGAGACCTGACTCACTGGGAGGTCTGCGAGTGTGTGTGGCTCAGTGTGTGTGTGTGTGTGTGTGTGGAGTATTATAAGACGAGCAGTAACCAGGTTCTGTTACCTTGTTCCACGTTTTCTACAGCACCATACTGAGCTAAAAGGCCGTCCAAAACCTGAGGGAAAGGCAAAAGTATGAGTTAGTGCAGGTGATGACGTTGTGAATCAAAAGAAGAAGAAAAAAAAGGAAAAACAGAACTCCACCACATCAGTAAGAAACACTATTAACATTGACAGTACATTTCTGGGTAGCCTACCTAAGAACATTTGTCTGCACAGGTACGTACAGTTCACATATGGATTTAATGTTTGTCAATGTTTCATTTTTATTTTTTCAAATTAGGGGTCTATAAAAGAAGAAATCTTCCCCAACAGCTCAGGACTTTGGGATTATTTATATATATAAATATATAAATATAATAGTTTGACACTTGGTGTAGCAACACAAAAACAGAGGTTACTGTGTGTTGACACATGAGACTCAAAGTAACAACCATGCTGAGCACAACACACACACACACACACACGCACACACACTCTTCAGTCAACAGAGGAGTAAAAGTATAAAGGCTGGTGAGTCATTGTCGGGAAACTGGTTTATGCGCTACCTGATGCTGATCAACTGGGCACCATACACACACAAACAAACACACACACACACACACACACACACACACACACAAACACACAGCTTTCCAGACAAACAACTGACCTCCCACTGTAGATGAGGGGGAATGTTCCGGATCTGGATCTTCCGACTCCTGCAGAGACAAAACACAATGAGTGGGTTTAACAGACCTGGACCACAAAGTGTCTCCATGTCTTTGTCTGTGTCTCTCTGTCCTTCTCTCTCTATCACACACACACACACACACGTGCTTGTGTACATTCAAAGCTGCCACATCAGCAGTCGAATAACTAACCTGGACAGTCGGTTGTTTATTGAACAGTGAGACCGTACAAGCAGTGACGCCACTGACACACATACTGTACGGGAGATCTAGGTGTGTGTCAGTGAGGAAGTGTGCTGCGCAGCAGCTGGTGACTCCCGGTAACACACTCCTACGAGTGTTATTCACTCTTCACACTCTGACAATTACTATCAGCGTGTGAAAGGTGACACCAGCAATACAGATTTCAATGAGGAGTCAGAAATTACGCAGAATTAAAGACAAGTGGAAATTATTTTAACAGAAGTAAAAAAAAAAAAAAAAACGCTATATATTCTCAAATATATGTGTATATATATTTGGGATGACACAGGGGAGTCTACTCGGAAACCAAAATATACGTTAAATGTACATAAGAAAACCTGCAGCAACGTCTTTTTCCTGCACATTTATGTAGTGTCAGTCTGCCATTTAAATGAGTACTTCTGTCAATTGATAAGTTAAAATTCTTCAATTATTACTTTTCTCATTAAAGTACCTGTATGCAGCAAAAATGAGGACATCCTCCATCTATAAAGAACAAGAATCTGCTGCTGTTTTGACTGCAGTGTGTATCAGTAGTTCAATGCAGGTTAAATATATTATGCAGGTGCGTCTGTATACAATATTTATGCTTCGTTCTTGTTCTAAATCTTGAAAACATTGGTACTTCGCTTAAAGCAAAAAGAAATGTTTAAAAATCAGTGTTGACACGATCATAAGGATTTGAACCAGCGTTTAGTCTTTAATCCAAATGTGCACGCATCAAATTGCTGATGAACACACACACACACACACACACACGAGGGAGTGTTCCAGTGACTTTCTGTCGTCTGGGATCCAGGGCGTCCACACAGCCTCTCTGTGCCTCCACAGAGCTTGTCAGCTCAAACAGCAAAGCCACACAAACCGCCTGGTGACCACAAGCTGTTAACAACTACATTAACGTGAGAGAGTCTGACTCTGGAATGAGGCAGGCTGCCTCGTAAAGCAGAGCGGCTGGTGGTGAAGGATAACTGAGGGTATCCTCTCACACCTTGAAAAATATGAGCATACAACTGAAGGTGCGTTACAGAAGAGACTCTGGAGGAACTGGATTTATTTATGAGAGAACGGAACTGTCACATTTTCGAGGAAATCCATATCTGATGAATGCTGTTACTCTGTTAAGTGTCTTTGCTCCAATTTTTAATACAATTTTTTTGGTAAATCAGTGTTCGGTGAAAGTTAAAAGTCTAAAGATCACAGATTTCTGCTTCTGGTAAACTCTGCAACCCAAAATGTTCTGATTCTGGAAAGAATGTTCCTCTGTTTGTCCACTTGTCCACTTCCGCACTAACAGCAAGGAAACATAGTGACACTGCCTTCCACTATTGATGGGCAAAAAAGTACAGTTTGCACTTGTTTTGCCCCCTGCTGGTTCGTTAGTGTGTAGCATACCATTTATTTAACCCTCTTGTTGTCCTCTGCATCTTGTTGTAGAGGATCTGACAAACAATTTTTGTAGGATCTCAATAAACAACAGACACCAGTGGCCTGAATGCCGTCTGTCACTGATGCTGGTTTAAAGCGACTTACACAATGAAAGACCTCTCTTGGCAACTTGCATCCAAACAAGAGTAAAACCAATCAAACTGTCTCTGTGCCATTGAACACACCACCTTTTTCAACACAACCTTCTGTGACCTAACAGCAGCCAATTGCTGAAAAGCATTTCAGGCCAATCCAAAACCTCAAACAGCCACAAACGCTGGCAACCACTAACTGCCCACCGTGGACACTAAAAGCTCCTTTCATTCAACACGGTCTGTTTAAATGGCTGATGGATTTGGAGGACCCCCGTTCTCCATTGTGTTTCCACTGAGTGACTGTAACCTGGAGGTAGACTGTTAAATGCAGTGCCCTTTGTGCAGCAGTGTCAGGTGAGGTCAACGTTTGGATTCCCCAATAGAGGCTGTGAACACATGTCAACTACTATGTCTACTTCTGCATCCACCAGAAAGGCCACTTCATTGTCTGTCATTCTGAAATATGCAGAGGAAACTTCCTGAATGGACATCGCTCGGAAAAAGTGACACTGCCTTCCACCAGTTTTTAAGGTCTCATTCTGAGCATGCCTGTGGTCAAAGGCTGACCAGAAGATCACTGCTCAGTCTGTCTGTCTGTGTCGAGGACATGCTGAGGCCTTCAGTGCCACCCTGGAACATACTGTTGACCACAGTAACGATTGTGTTATCTTGTTGGTACATTATTGTTTCTGACTGTTGTGTCTGTTGTAGTGTTCATAGCTGTTGGTACATTATTGTTTCTGACTGTTGTAGTGTTCATAGCTGAGAAGCAGAATTACAACAAGTTAAAAACTCTGTTGTCCAATTCATGGTTCTTAAAATCCAGGGGTTTTATACCTGTGGGAGGACAGTATCATAATGGCCGCCGTTCAAGAACCCGTCAACAAACCAAGCCATTCCAGTTCTTCCTACAGCGTTTCTATCTGACCAAATACTAAGACTGATAAAATTATATTGAAGAAAATGAATGTTTAAAAATATTCCAAATGCAGACACAAACACTTAAACCATTCTTGAGAATCAGCGTGTTGCCCAATGGCATTAAAGGAGTCAGCTCTTTTTTCTACTGCCACCCTTTATTTTCAGTCCAGTTGAACTCGATGACTTTTCGCAATTACTCCTTTCCCAAAGTCCAAAATTGGCTTCAGTCGAAAATGCATACTGAAGTCGATGGTTACTTAATGTTTGTCGAGTTTAACCAAGCTGTCTTCCACTGGTTTGCAGTGACCTGCCAAGAGAAAAATGAAAGACCTCTTAATTTTGAGGGTGGCCATGTTCATTTGAAAAGCTAATATTTACTGCACCCACCTGCATGAGCTAAGAAATTGTGCACTCACATGGATGCGTACTAATAGGCACATACACCCTGAGCAGTCGAAGGAATTTTAACCTCTGAGAGGGGGCAGCTGGGTGAGAAAGAGGGAATTCAACTTTTGCCAGAAGTTTGCAGAGTTCCTACGGGGGAATCCATGGAACCGCTTTTAACTTCTTTGCTTTCTCTTACTTTGGAATCTAAATTTAAACACCTACCTGGGGCCAGATACTCCATGGTGGTATTTGGATGCACCTATTTTGAATTGTAAGGATACGAGTGATGGAGTTATTTTATTCCATATCAGTTACTTACAATAAAGAAAGTATATTGACCATGCAGTCCCTTTGCTCTTTTGACCTCGAAGGGGAAAATACTGTTCCTAAACGTGGTGGCTTCATAGTGCAGGTCAGTGTTTCCCCAAACGTTTTTTTGAGCCACGGCACATGTATATCAGGAAAAATCCAACGGCACACCACCAAACAAAAATCTCACAAAAAGTATATGTAATGATATTGAATAATTTTCTACTTTAAATGATTCAAATCACAGCCTGTTTAGATGAAGACAACGTGTGCAAAAATGTGTGCTGTAAATTTCCCCGTTGTGGGACAAATAAGGAACTTTTTAAACAGAGGTGTGTTTCATTTATTAGATAACCAAAAGTCAATAGAGGGTTGCACTTAAGTTAAAGAAATCAATATTTTAATGTCTCAGAAAAACCTGACCACAGTGATTCTTTGGGTCAAGGACTGACCTCTTGAGGAAACTCACGAATGACAAAACGGATACGGGAAGTTCTACATTTGAAATTCTATGCACAGCAGAAAACTGACGCCGTTGAAAATTAAAGCTCATCACACCTTCACACCATCAACACGAACAAGAGAACACAAACACAAACCTATTGACAGATAGAGGACACGGCAGCCATGTGATCACACACCTGTTACATTACAGATTCAGCGACAGACTCTCCAGGCAAACCTGATTCTAACATGTGCAGCAATCTGAAGCTGCAGTGGTGATTGCAGTATAATGTGATCATCTTCACTTACAGCACACGAGTGAGCTTCTACTGTTACAGTGAGGCCTTTAAACCAGCAAGTTTGATTACTTTACACCAACTGGAGCTAACTTGCACTAATGCCATTATATAGGTCAGTTTGGCTGGGTCAGCCTTACAGTCTGGTGGTCGTCACACAACAACTACCCACTCACCTAATCTGAATTAACCCACTTTCTAGCTTTGAAACTTAAGCTCTTAAGCATCTAATCGTCCTCAAACCTCTTTGGGGAAGCGGCAAGTCAACAATTTACAGTATCACACATGTTTCCTGCGTCAACAATTGAATTTTAAGTTTTTAAAAAAAAATCCCTGTAGGTGGCATAAATACACCTGCATTTTTTTTACAACAGTGTACCACAATGTCTTGTAGATAGTACTGGATGGACAGAGCTTGGATAAGAACATGGCTGTGAGCACAACACAAGAGCTAATGTTAGCTATGGCAGTCCTGGTACCGATGGTGTAGCCAGCGCACACCTGGTAAACACATGCGACTTCTAAAAATGAAACAGACTCTGTGGTCATTTGTATTTTTTTCTAAAGCAATACAAAAAATATAAAACCAGTGATAAAAAAAAAAGTTTCTTACTGTTTCTTTAAGATTTTTTTAGGCAATATTTTATTGATGTTTTGGTTGGTACAAAAAAGACAAACCAAGAAGTAAATGCACTAACATTTCCTAAGTTTTCTCTTTTCTTTCACACAGAATAAGAAGCATTGTGAAATGGCATCATTTGATCATTCCTTTTTTTTTCCTATTTGGACACCAGAAAGAAGGCAAGAACGTTTCTTTGGCGTGCTGCTAAGTGCTCCTCTAAAGCCACATCCACTTGTTGTGGAGCACAGATAACAGGATTTGCATGTCACGGGCGTTGATGGTTAT